CATGAAAGTCCATCCAAAGACTGCTCCCAATTTAGATTCAGATTCCTAAACCGAAGTAGGTTTATATATGTTTGTGGAATTCAGCATACTGGTAGATACATATGATTTATCCTCAAGTCCCCCCAAGGCTTCATGCTAAACTTTCAGGCAGGTTTGGTAGCTTGGATTTGATATAATAGAAGAAGAAAGAAAAAATTGAAATCACATATATTGTCCTTTTCAATACCGTCTAACATAATTTACCAAGCATACCAATGTATTTTATTTTATTTTTTGAAAACTCAAGTATTCAAGTTTCGTCCGACTAATCCCGAGAAGTGGCGGCCTTTCTCTTGATTCTCCATTCGAGTAAATCGAAGGCAGTTACATCTCATATACACTTACGCTGGACATTAGAGAATCGATTCTTCTTCCCGTGAACCTCTTTTACGACGTCCGAACGAGCCTCGGAGGGATGATAAAGCACACCGTGACTTTATCTCTACAAGATATTTGCCTAACAACATAACTGTTGCATTACAGGTTTCGCGAGAATTCGAATTTTTGATACTCTATAAAGAACCCTCTTACTTTACCACTGTGCCATATCCGTAGGGAATATTGTTGTATTTTATTCACTATACTACAAGTTGTGTTACTAGATCCTTTTAGACGTAGTTATAAAACCAGGATTGAATAGGCCGGTTCGGTCCGAAAACCGTCGAACTGAACTCAGGTCAGTAATGGATTTATGGCTGAACAAACAACCCGTCGTCCACCCGTTTGAACCAGTTTTTAATAAAAACCATGTTCCACTTTTCCTCGACCCGACCGGTCTTAATTAACCCATGTTTCTCTGTCTTTCCACTTTTCGCCATCTTAGTGTCCTTACAAATTCTGAAATACAATGTGTAATTAGGGATTCTTGCAAAATCAAAAAGCTCAGCCGCCGTCTCCAAAGAGAACGTTAAGTTGGTGAGGGTTAAATCCAAATCTCCAATTTTCAAGTTTTAAGAGACGCAAGAACAGGTTAGTTCAGATGTGTTTTGCTAAAAAAACTCGATCAAATTGATTTTATACTTGGGTTAATTTTTCTAAATCATACATATATGTTTTCTTCTTCTGTTAAACTCTTATTACTATTCAAATCGATTATAATAAGAAAATTATTGCTGTGTTTAGTTGATTGATTGAGGTGATGAGAAATAACAGCGGATATTGGAAAAATAATCAAGAATGTAATTGGATTGACCGACTTAAAGGCGAGGTCTCATTGGCCAAATATCTTGTTTTTAATTCTTTTGTGTAGAATGAGATAGGCTTATGTGGGATTAATTCCAAAATGGTGACTGAGACATTTTGTAGTTCCAGTTTCAATTTCATTTTGAACATTAATTAAATGTATTTATGGGTTTAGTTTGAGCTTTCATTAATTCATTATGTTTGTTGTTGAGTTTCATTACATGACATTAATGCAATTTGGCATTAATTCTTATAAGTATTGCTGAGTTTGATTAAATGGAGATCAAACTGGAACAACAACAGAAACGGGCGTATCTTTGAGTAGAATGAGATAAGCATATGAAGTTTGTTAGATAAAGTAGTTTTTTTTAATCTTTGATTGTCCTTTTTATTGTTTCAAATGCATATTTGACTACATTCGATTTAGAATTTGTAAAAATTGGGGTACATATTGATCTTTAGTTAACAAAATAATATGATGTTAATTAAGTTATTGGTAGAAAATGGTAAAATTTTATTGTTTAATGAAAATAATTAATAATATTTGACAGGAAATGACTCGCCAGTTGAATCACTAACCCATTGACCCGCTGCATTGTCCAGGTCAGTATCCGGTCAACAGTCTCGAGGATTGTATTTTTCCTTAATGTAAGTACAAAGGCAATCATCACAAATTTTTTCACCAGCATAGAACTGGAGAGAGAACCCATACTTGAAAATGGACAGATTCTATTCAAAGTTGAACTGATTTTATTACGACTAAACATGAAACCACTCTCTTAAACAAAGTGGTGCAAATCCGGGCTGGCCTAGGAAGTAAAATGTGGGTCGTACCAACCTATTCATAGGCGAAAATGCTGCACGTAGCCCCGTACATGCCAAGGGGACAGATGTCATCGGGGGACCTTGGCATGTACATGTAGCATCGTTCATTCATAGGTCTGCACCAGGCCATGCCAAAGGAGCTTGGCCTGCTTACACTTCTACTTGAACATAATAGTAATACTGTAATAGTACTAGCAGAGTCCAACATTGTTTAACGTGTAAAAGAGAACCATAAATACCTTCCTCCATATCATTAGCCGTTTTGAAAAACCCTTCAGAAACAATATAATTCAATCTCAAACCAAGACATATAGTGTTTAATTAATTTTGTACTATGAATCTTAAATTTCTATTATAACAATGAACTAAATTTCTTTGTGGAATTCTATACTTGGAACTTACAAAAGGACTGCATGATATTTCACCATTGGCACAGTGTCAAAGCACTCAAACTGAACACAAGAATGACAACAAACCACTAAACTTATCATCTTTGCTTGTAGTACTCCTGAATGCAAACGAGCAACCATCAAGCGCTCTCCATCCATCTGGCTGATTACATAATAGAGCACGAACACCCACCTTTCTTCATGGCATTATCTTGCAGTTTATCTGAGGCAAGAGCATTTCAATATCAGTGATTAAGCAGGGATTTCTGATCCTAAATTTATACGAAGCAACATACAAGGGTATGGAATCCTCGACTCAGGCATTCCAATGATCACGAGTAGAACAAGCTTATACTAAATGGAGTTATTCTATCCAAGTTAATTATACTTCGCCTGAATGTTTTATAAGTTGAACTAGACACGATTGGAAGGGATTAGGAAAGAAAAAGGAAGCTGAAATTTTGTATGCCTTATATTGTCTACCAAAATTACCCAAAAATTTGTACTCAGAAATGTTGGTGAAAAGAATTCTGTGCCTCGGGACCTTTATACCATGTTCATGAACAATCTTATCTAAAAGCTTAATGCTTTAAATGAAGGTGGGAGCAAGTAAACACAATCAAGATTCTTTAGTTCCACATGCTTTCCTCTTCAATCATATTTTAGCTTTATTTAATCATGTAACTTGTGGACCTTTCGCCATATTTTCCGTATTAGAATTGCAGCGACCCACAACCTAGCTGCTTATACTCTTTCTTCAAGTGCTTCCAAGCACTAGACTTATTGTACTTCTTTACTTATTTCACCTTTTATTCATGGCGATCTTANCTTTCTTCAAGTGCTTCCAAGCACTAGACTTATTGTACTTCTTTACTTATTTCACCTTTTATTCATGGCGATCTTAATGAATAAATAAATAATGCTTTGCTAAAAAATGGAAATAAAGATTATTGTTTTATGCCCCCATATGACCTAAATGGCAAGTCTATTGCACTCATTTCAGTGCATACCAAATCCAGGTGATAATGTACAGAAATATAGATACAAGGCAAATAGTTAAAAATGGGAGAAAGGGAGAAGGGACAAAGCTTTCAGCGAGAAAAAGAATAAGAAGCACAAAAAGGAAGTGTTCTGTAAGTAATGCAAACACAAAAATGACAGAGTTCATACTTTACACTGAAAAAGAACATTGAACCACTGACATATTTCAATTATTTCAAAGTTATCGATATTATTTCTTCTCATGCTCCCTCTATTGTTCATTTGAGATACATATGCACTCTTGCTCTTGTTTTCCGGCAATCAAAAATACTATTAAAAAGTATTATTCCCAAGGTGCCAACTCTTCCCCTTAAAAAGGGATAGAAGGAAAAAGGAGGGTGTATGACAGCATAAACTCGCACCAAACAGCAATAAGCTAAGTGCCTGTTGGCTACTCTCAAAAATTGCCAAACATGTTTGGATAACATTTTTTTTTTCTTCCTTTTAAATAAAAAAGTTACTTTCTGAAAGTAGCTTTTACCTCACTGTCAAAACAAACAAATTATTTTTTTCATTTTTATAAATAAAAACATTATTTTTATTAGAACTTAGTTACTTATAAGTAACATTTTAAGCTGAACCAAACATGTTCAGATTCTTGTTCCAAATAAATTTGGTGTTGGCTGCACAATCCTTTTTAAACACTCCTTTTGGTTAAGTGAAATAGTCATCCACCATATAACATCCAATCAACCATCTCAGAACATAAAAATATATCTTGTATCAATTACCACTATTTTTGTCAGGAAGAGGAGGACGCACGACAACATGCATAGTGATTACACCTCCTGGAACTTCAGTGAGTGGAAGTCGGGATTCACCAATTGTTCTGTTGTTTTCCAGTATCTTTCCAGCATTAATAAGCTTTAAATCATTCATAGATTTTGGCCCATTTTCATTCTCTGCATTATAAGAGAGGATAATGGATCATCAGAAACCAAAGAACATGTTCATGATGAATCAGATTACAGAAAATAACTGAAAATAAAATCAGTATTAGTGCAAAAAAATATGTTACAAGCCTACTAAAGAAGCTAATATATCCTCCAAAAAGTTGGTTTTCTTCCGTTTATACATCTCATCATAATCCTTAAGCACGTTGAGCTATCATAATTGATGTAGAAGTGCTAACGATCTTATTATGCTTGACTATCGAAAGGTTTGGAAGAATAAGTTCTTCGTATGTAAAAGAAATCCAAACATAGTCTCTCCAAATTATTTTGTATTCTGCTACATTAAACAACAAGAAAGACAGAGAAAATTGTATTGGTAAGTTCTGTACTGTCTAAACCACTAATAGCTTGTTTGGTAAGGTGGATTTTACAATACTGGACAGTGTTGAGAAAGTAAAAGAAGCTAAAATCTTGTCTATTGCACTGTCAGTTCATGTCCGTACTACGTACCAAACATGCCCACAAAGACTATAAGAATCACTTGGTGGTATAGTGAAGTTAAAATTTTATTTATTTTTAAAATTCCAGAACAGGACTTGGCATTCCATCCAAGAATTCACGTATACATTAAGCCCTTGTTTGGTCCCATTTTCTAAAACTCATTTTCAAGCACATATTTTATAGGACCACAGCTTTTATTAATTTCTCAACCACACATTTCATTCAACTTTTATAAAAATTTACTAAAAATATGATTTTTAGCTAAACCAAACAGGGGCTAAGAATCACCAAACTGTAATGAATTTCAACTTGAGCAATGAATGATTATAGTGAAAAACATAATAATTGTTTATACAATCTCAGTTTACCAGACAACATATGCATAATAAAATGAAAGAACAGGAAATTGCTGCTGCAATTGCCCCATTAGAAGACCCCCAAGTTGCTGAGATTGTAATAGACCTTTATAACCAAGCCCGCAACATTGAGTTTTAGGAAAAATATAAAATAGGCAGACATAAAGATTTACATATTTCAGTATGAGGCCTCCATTCGCAGGCAGAAGCTAGAAGAAAATTCGAGTGATTACAAAAAGCTAGTACAAAGTACTCAATTTGTGAACCCTGAGCATCCCAAAGTTTATGCTACAGGACTAAGGAAAGATCCAAAGTCTCGTAAAAGTTAGCTCTCTGTGCTCCTCCTCTAGAAGTACAAACAAAGAGGCTATCTATCAGTCCCCATTCGACATGGTGGACGAAAATCAAATATACATGTGGAAAATTCTAATCTTATTTTGTGTAGGATTGTCTCCAAGACACAGTTAATAGATAACAAATATCAAGAACTATAGCTACATAGCTCATGCCTGCACATGAAAAGTACCTAAATTTCCAACGGAAACCCTCAAGAATGCAAATCATGAAATATACTAGAAATCCCCAACATCCCCAAAAATTTACACAATTTCATAAATTAATAAAAGTAAGATTATTTGTAACCTTTTGGCCATAGTGCAATTATCTTTTCTTTGAGAGATTCCACAGTTGTGCTAGAACTATACTTGCTTGGTCCAATATCGCTACCATCTGCAAGCCTGAATTTGACTTCAACCAATTCCTCAACAGCCATTTAACAATCTTACAACAAAGTTTGACCTCAAATTCTCATAACCCACAAACCAAATCAGTAAATTAAGTGCAAATTCACGCAGATTTAAACTATCAAAAATCAAAATTTTCAAAGATTGCCACTCAAAATCACTTGGGCAATGAAGAAATAAATAGAAACAAGCCCCCAAATCAATAAATTCTTTTCCAAATACAAATATTTTCAAGAACCCAGATCAACCGACAAGATTTCAGTTGGAAAAAAAAAACCACAATAAAGTTTGACGCGTTAGCGTTAAGAAATCAATATATTTGAGGGATTTCTTATCAATAGATAAAGCGAGAAACTTTTTTCCGCTGAGAATTTTCGAATGCTTGATGGCGAGACACAAAAATAAAATATAGCAGATTACCAAATGGAAGATTTCCAAAGTTTGATTAGATTCTTTAACTTGAATCTATTCATTTTGATTGACAACTTTTATTTGTTCCATTAACTATTGCAGCTGAGAAATTTGACTCGAAATATTGCAAATAACCCCTCAAATTTAGAGTAATTTTACTTGACACCCTCAATTTAGATTAGAGGCAGAAAATATTCTTAAAAGTTGGAGGTTGAGTTGTTACCGAACAGTACATCGATTCACTAGATTTGACGTCGTAGCCAAGTGCTTAGAATTCGTGTCCATTAAGCAGCCATTATTAATTTGATATATCGATCATCTCTCTTCATGCAACATTTGTTATGCGTGTCATGATTTCTTCGTATAGACACATGATTTAGACTAACTTTAAAAATAATAATTGAAAGTTAAGTTTTTATTGAAGATGTCATCAATTATTGATGCACTAAGTTCAATATTGTAGCGAAGTGCTTGTAGTTAGTGTTGAGTATGTTAAATAGAATGTGACTTTGATACATATCTTTATTTCATGATTAGAAAATATTCGGCTTGAATAATTTATGTTAAATTAATCCAAAAGTGGATATTTCTAAAAAAAATAACCAAAGTTGATGAAACAAAAGGTCAAAAATTAGACCTACTAAGATATGGCCCCCGTATGGCCCCCATTATTTGTCATTATTTGAGAAAATGATTTTTGCAATAGTGTTTTTTGGAAAATTGTGTGGTTAAAAAAAGAAGAAATTATTTTGAGTTTACGAATAATATTATTTATTGGAAAATGTGTAATTGATAATAAGAGAGAGAAAAATGGATTATAATGTTAATGTAGCCAAACAAGGGCATATAAACTTCCAGAATATGTAAAAAGAATTTAAGAATTATCTAAATATTTTGGGGTTAGAATGAACTTTCACTACTAATTGAGCAACATATATTTACATCAAATCTATTTTTCACCCAAAAATATAAAAATAAAAAATTAATCGATAAATGGAGCCCCATGTACCCACTTGTTGTTTATAAAGACTAATCAATTATATTGGAAAAGACAAAAATCTTTGGAGTTGAAACGACTTGGTCCGGAATGATTCTACCATTAATATACTCCCCCGTCTCAATTACATAGACTTGTTTAGTTTTTCAGAAAACTTATTTAATGTCGTTGGAAAATTAATTTTTGCCAAGATCTTTCCTAATTTACCACTATTTAATTTTCAGTATGAAAAATTAAATTATTGTTGCACTCCCCCCGTCCCATATATATAGGCTGAGTTTCCTTTTCTTCTTGTCCTAAATATATAGGCTTGTTTCTTAATTGAGAATGTTATGTTTTGTTCTTTTACTAATAGTGGGGAAAATTTAATAAGAGTATATTAGTAAAAGAACACAACAAAATATTCTACATTAAAAAATATGTTTATATATTTGGGACACAACCTATATAATTGAGATGGAGGGAGTATTTTTCTTCTTATTATAAAAGATCATGAAATTCTTGAAATTTTGAGGTATTCAAAACAAACTTGTCTTCCTTCAAATTAGCATTTAATGTCCATAGCAGCCTTTGTTATTGATCTTTAGTCATTACAGCACTAAATTATTGAAGACTTCATAGCTTAGTTTCTTGAAACAAAATGAATTTATCAATGTATATGGACAAGCAGCCATCTATGGTCATCATTGTATTTCTTTGACCAGTTGGTTTCAACCATGATTTGTGTACATCTTGGGTTATTCCTTCGTTGACAGAATGATTCGTGACATTTTGTCATTAGACTGTTTAAACAAAAAACAATTTTAGTAGCCAATGATTTTTTGACGACGTCTCATCTGTCAACAAAGGAGGCAAAAAAAGGATGTCCAAATGAGCTTTCCACTTAGTGCTTAGTCTCCTTTCCATGGCAAGATTTAGGACATATTTGACATGACTTTTGAAAAGTCAAAACGAGCTTTCGAAGTCCAATAACTATTTTATATCTGTTTAACTAATTTTATGAAAACACTTCTTCTAATTAAAAGAGTGTTTAGAGAAATCTAGTTAAATATGACTTTCATTAAAATTATTTTTAGAATATAAAACTTTTTTAGAAATTAATTTTCAAACAAAAATTAAGATAACTTTTTTCAAGAAGTTCTTTTACAAGAAGTCAAAGTAAAAGCAAAAGTGATGTCAAACGAGCCCTCAATTGAGGGTTGTTAACTTTGAGACTTGTAAGAGAGTAAAACGTCCACCAAAGCAAATTCAATCTTTGCACAGCCTCATTTCTCAAGAACTCGGGCTATATTTTTATTTGACATGGAGAAAATAATATAGAGAGGAAGATAGTTTTTGCAAGAAATCCCTCGTCAAGGTATATATTCCATCTATGTGTGATTACAACGTTTTCTTGCAACATTTCAACTTATGTCTAAAGCGAATGAATAGTGAAATTTCGGTGAAAGCCCAAAAACAATTTTTTTTTTTTTAATGGAAAAAATAAATGAAAATTGAAAAGCTCTACTTGGCGTGCGAACTGCAAAAGCATTTTTTCATATAAAAAAAGCTGTTCGGGTTTATATAAAATGCTAAATGAGTATGCAGGACATTCCTACTAATATATTTTATAAAGTCACACGACTTTTCTTTTTGCCGGGGTTATACTAAACTTTGCAGTTTATAAAACTCACAAAGAATCCAATCAACCGACAAGACTACCAATAATAACAGAAAAAAAGATAAAAAGGAAAAAAGAAAGATAAAAAGTGAGAAAAAGAAGAATCCACCATGTAGCGTGTTGTGGTTCAATGCGTGAATCACATAACTACTTTCACGAGAATTTTTAGGACAAATGCTACTCTCTTTGTCCATTAAATATAGACTTGCTTTCATTTTTACATAAATTAAAAAATTATAATTAATATAGTTGTATATATAAATATTTTAAATATTTTTTCTAATATACCTCTACATTAAATAATGATTTAAATGACATTAGTTAGTATTTATTGATAACAAATGCATATTAAATATGTGCATACTAGAAAATTAAGAAATCAATTATATTCTCAACAAGAAAAATTTAATATAATTTGAGACAAACAAAAAAAAGGTCTATTTTTATGGGATGGGGGAAGTGCTAAAATAGAAGTTTTGCTTTTGCATTGAAAACTACTTCTCATTCTCAGTATTCTATATGGGGGCGGTAGCTAGGTTTGATAGCAATCTATTCTAAGCTTATTATATAGTGAATTGTGCTACATGTACAATCTAGTTTGACGATATTGGTTGACAACTCACACTTGACAACATCATATTCATCTATTTCAAAAATTGTTATTTCAATCAATGATTCGAATTTTGACGACACTAACATTGTCAACCATTATTGTCAAGTATGGTTATACTAAAAACATAATTGTTATATAGCAGCACCTGCAAAGGCAAAGCCCTTATAAGGGAATTTTTGGGAGCCAAATGAGATGTAAACTTCTTGACAAAAATTGATGCCCAAGTTACCTTTTTTTTTTTACTGTAAAATATCTGAAACTAAAATTGCCTATTTCAGTTTTGGTTCCTCCCACCATAAAAAAACACATATTTCAAACACTAGAAGCGATTTCAAGGGTAAATGATATGTGTTGGAAATTGGTTTGAAAGATTGAAATTTGGTTAAGTGATAAAACCAAAACTTGGAAAAAGTGACCTTCCTGTCAAATTTGGCCAAATTTTCGGACTTGATCCGATGGTCAAATTACAAAAGTAAATAGACCAACTTATTCTACTCATCGAGTAGATCGTCCTGGTATATTTGGAATCTCAAAACCAATGATGGATGAATGAGAAATTGCGGTCCAAAGTTGGGAAGAAAATAAAGGAAGCTATCTAGAAAATTGACAAAAGCTGTTGCTAGTTTATGGCTGGGCTATAGCTTAAGCGACAGGCTAGCGACAGGCTAACGAAAAAGTCACCGTTTTTATCACTCGAGTGATGCGATGGCGACAGGCTAGCGACAGTGAATGGTACGACCTTTGACAAGAGTTGCCGAGCTTGGGGTGCGACATTTCATTCATAACCCCTCATCCTCTATATAGGACCCCTTGGACGTCCCAATCTTCACGTCAATGATATGCAATCATATAGCATTCATTATCTCTTCTTTCTCAACCAAAATTCTTGCATTCTTGTTGCTTAAATTCTAGTTTCTTCACTTTGCATTCCGGAGTTCGTAAACCAAGTTTGGTTCTTTGCATAAATTCTGGTTTTCTTCACCTTGCATATCGGAGTTCGTAAACCAAGTTCTGGTTCGCCGTTTCTTATGTGTTGTAGTGCTACTCACACAAGAAGATAGTCGTTGTATCTTGGGAGTTGAATGCCATAAACCATAGGCACCGTTGCGGGGCAAAATCGACTTAAGGACAAAGTGTTCAACACTTGCTTTGACTTTGATATTATTGCTGCTATACATTTTGAGGATTTATTTGGAGTCCATTTCCAACCATTATTCCACCGAAATTTCTAAAGAATTTTGAAGGTAATTTGAAGAATTTTTCGGCATTGTTTGTCATTCCATACACAAAATTTTTCCAACAATCTTTAGTCGAATTTTGTTGGAGTGACTTTGATCTTCGGTTAAAT